GAGGCCCGGGGGTTGGGGACCGCTGCTCCTCTCAGTGATTCTTGTATGTAGTTGCTTCTGTTATGAGAAGATGAACCTGGTACCTGAAAACTTTGCTTTACCAAAGATTTTTAACCTGCTGCTACAAATAATAAAATCTTACAGAAATTCTCTGCACAGCTGTGTTTGTGTGCGCCGCCTCAACCATTTGTTACATTTACACTTGTTAAAATGTAACATTTTTCACATTTGTTAAAAATGTTACATTCTCTGAAAGCGGTTATATTCTGATGGCATATTCAAGGTGTGACATCACTCTGAGGTTGTGGGCGGGAGGGGGACAAAGGTGCGACGTTTGTGTTAATCTAACGACACCTGGCTTTGCAAAAAAAACCAAACTTCAGGTTAAAATGTTAGCGAGCTACAGGCTTCTGTGAACAATAAAATAGCACTTTCAGTTTCTTCTTTGTGTCTCTCTGTGTTTGGTGATGATCTCCTCATCTCCAGCTCAACAAAGTTCCTCTGTATCCAAAATGATTAACCAGTCCCTCAGCGGAGACTCTTCGCCCGTTTTAGCTGCCCCACTTTGAAAGAAGTGCGGGAATATGAGGAAGCCGTGTTCTCCCCGTTGGGATGAGTTGGGTAAAAAGTAAAAATGTTTTCCTCGTGTGTCCGCAGGGTGTCCTGGGATCGAGCGGGCCTCCACATCCTGCAGCTCCGAGCGTCTGACGGAGGCCGGTACAGGTGCACCGCTGCCAACACGCTGGGCTCAGACTCGGAGGCTTCCCAGCTGCTGCTGGCAGGTGTGCTCTTTGTTGCAGTTCGCTCGTCTCACGTGAGGTTGCATTTGTATGCACATCTTCTCCAGTTCCAGTGGAGGTTTTGTAATTTCCCTTGTGGCTTTTCTTAACTATGTTGATGAATATCAATCCAGGCCTGCTTTGTCTGTGAGTGCGCGGTAATCAATGGATTTATAAATATATACGTTTACAGATTTCACCGTCTTACTCAGCCTGCTGAAAAGAGCCTGTGGAACAGCTGTGTTTGTTCACAACATGAACCCAGTTCTTCTATTCCACTGGTGCCGTGTGTGAGGGATTATTTTCCACTTGCGATCTGCAGGAACACAAAGCTGTGGCTCCGTCTCAGCCTGCAAACAAACCCGGGTGGTGGGTTTTAATGATTTATACAGTCCTGGAATCACAAACACATTTTTTAGCTTTTTTTGGGGCGGATATTCTTCCAGATTGATGTTTGTATCCAGTAAAGCTGCAGCACTGATCGCAAAATAATCAACCTGAAGTTCGGGAAGCTGATCTGTTGGCACAAGAAATAACAGCTGAATCACTTTCTTATATTTTCTTATTCTGTTTATGTCCAGACAATCAGAAGGTTAACAGGAAATAATATTAAATGTGCAGTTTCTGTGTTCGATGTTGTAATTTAAACAGCGGGTGAGTTTATTTAGCATTTTGACAAAAGCCGATCGAGTCTAATAATGAATTCACTGAACTTCCATGCGGACGTTTAAGTTACCCTCTGAGGAAAGTGAGTGATTAAACCCATCCATCCATCTTCATCCGCTTTATCCGAGGCTGGGTCGCGGGGGCAGCAGCCTAAGCAAAGAGAGATTAAACCCAAAAGTGCAAAATGTCATTTCTATGCCGATGACACAGTGATGTCATTTCCTGTGTCTAACCAATTCAATTCTATTCAATTTTATTTATATAGCGCCAAATCACAACAAAAGT